TTAGTACCATGAAGAATCAAATTATCGAGTCTTTAGAAAGAAGATTGTATTACCTAACATTCGATTAGAAAGAAGAATTATGATTTTTGCTTCGAAATATTTCTCTCTACAACATTCAATATTTCGCGCATATTTCTAAATTAAGGAGATTTCGAACAAAAACGGTTGTTCTGTTTAATTTTTAACCTAACTGAAGGTTTTAAAATTTTTTAAATTTTTTTTTGTATATTTACAACTTTCTAAAAGTTAATGCTATTTAAGATTCTTTCATACTATTTGTCGCAATGAGCATAATTCGCAAATCCCTATCTTTTAGCAAAAATTTCAATTTCTCAATAAATCAATTTCATTTGATTTGAAAATGCGCGCCAAATGTTCGATTAATATTGAAATATTGTATTTAGGCATTACACAAGAAAGTTTATAACAGTCTATCTTAAATTCTACGCATTAAATATCCAATGCTTATGAAAAAACCTTTGAGTACCAAAAGTAATTAGGATTAAGGGATATGGAATACTCGCTATTTCATGTTTATGAAACAGGCTTTTTGCTTCAAAAATATATCATAAAAACATAAGGAAATACTTCAAAATATTTGAAAAACTACAACAGATAGCTTGTCAATATTGTCCGTATTAAGTTGTCAAGAAATTTTTTGTTTCTGTTCGGTAAATTCTACCTCTCAGCATACGGATAACAATCAATGACTGTCATCCGTGTGTGTCGTAACTTTCTAAGCACTGTAGATATAGTAACTATAGTTCCCTAGAAACTAGAAGAGTTTCGGCTAATAAACATTTGTTGCAATTCTAAGAAATTATTATCTACGATTTCCGATTAATGCAAAATTTAATTTTTGTAATTTACAGAATTCCTAGGATTCAAGTTCCGTTTGTTCTTAAAGTTTTAAAATTAAAAGTATTCAATGAAGTGCTAGTCTGCTAGCTGAGTGTAACAGTTCGCGCTCCCGTGAAGCAGGTTTGGGGTTTTATCCTCAGACCGGGCAATGTTGACTGAGCTTTTCATTCCTTCAATGGTTTGATAAAATGAGTACCAAGCATGCTTGGAGACTAAACATTGGGGGTTCCACGTTCGACTGACCATTCAACTGCATCATCTGCTCCTGCACCCCAAAGTCCAAGGTCAAGAAAACTGGGATGGGCACAGTAGTGGCTCTCTAAGGCTTGTCGTGCCACTTAAATTTAATTTAATAGATAAATTAGAATAATTTAAAAACAATGCATTTATAAAATAAAGAATGTTTTCCCTTTTTTTCACTTAATCAATGATTAATAGCATTTTCCATTTTTTTAAAATTATAATCATGAACTAATTGCTATATATCATGAATATATATTTTTTTTCATTCTTACATTATGTGCAATAAATTAATTATTCCCAATGTTAGGTTATAGTCATTATAGGTCTTTCCATAGTTCTTTTTAGTATATATAGCAGTAGGTTCCATTTAAATTTTACTGGTGATATATGAGATTTTTAGAATTTTTTAAAAAAAATTTTCTGTGCATCTAAACGGGATAGAACTTTTGCAGTCATCTTATATATTTTCCTTAGGAATAAAATTTCCCCTGAGATTTGTCTTATGAAATAAAACACACAATCAAAATTTTCCTAATTTTGTAACCTATTCCCAATTAATACCTTGCATTTAACCCCAAAACTCAATAAATATAGAATATCAGAACTTTTTTTTCACTCCCAAATATTCTATAATTTGCTTAACTTTTTGCCCCAAATCGAATCATCCATCAAGATCATCGAAAAGTAACTTAACTTCGAAATGTAGCAAAAAAATAAGAAAACAAATTCCTCGCCACTTTTGATAGAAAGGACACCCAAGACACAGCCGAAAGACGTAATTGACTCAATATGTTATCAAATTATACCGCCTTTATGGGGATAACTTTGTTTGGTCCAAGACCTTTTCCGTGGCTGATTTTCCCAAGGGATTATCCCCAGCCCATGATAAAGTGGCCGAAGGGAAATCCTATTGGACGTAACCGTCTTACCCAGGATGTTAATCTTTGTTAAGTCTCTTGTCTTTGGAACTTCCTAACCATCGAAGAAAGATTGGTTGTAAGGTATCAAGTTCTTGGGAAAAGTGGATGACGTATACCATATTGATTAGAGTAACTTCTTGATGTGAGGGGGAAATAAGTTATTTGGAGATAAAATATGATTATGGGATGTAATAATTAAATTGCATTCAACTCAGTTAGCAAGGCGAAGTAATTAAATATTGACTTAATTTTATATTTTTATGGTTCAGCTTTGAAAATAAGTATCAATTTTTTCCCTTCTTTTTGATATCTTAAGTCTATTAAGTTATTTATCTATTGTTAAAGAGCTTAGTTGAGAAACACGTTGAGTGACATTTTGCAGTCAATTCAGTTACAATAAAAAAAAATTTTAATTAATTATTTTGATTTGGGGTGAAACGTGCCTGTTTCTTTCTGTGCAACATAAAGTAAGCAGAGAAACGTGTTTAATGGCCTTTTGTAGTTATCTTCGTTATTAAAACAAATTAATTAAATTAAATAGGTAAAAAATATTTTGATTTCATATTTTTTTCTAGTAATGCTATGAAATAAATTACTGGTCTTTTTATCTGTTTTTTTCCCATCGAGTTTAGCGGAAAAACATGTTTAGAAATTATTCACAGTCAGTTCAGTTATCGAAACAAAATAACTATATCAAATTATTTCAATTTTTGGAGAATGTAGATAAATATGTTTCCTCTTTTTCACAAAACATATATGAGGTAAGAGACATGAAGTAAGAGAAAAGGCATGTTTAGTGACTTTTTGCAGTTAACTCCGATATCAAAGCAATTAACAATATTATATAAGGGAAATTTTTTGTTTTGTTTTCATGCTATACTTTGTTAATGTAAAATAGTATACCAATTTTATTTAAGCGAGCTTACTAGTAGAGAAACATGTTTAGTGACATTTTGCAATCAATTCAGTTATAATAGCAAATTTCTTTTATTTAATTATCTTGATTTGTGGGGAAACATGTTTTTCACAAAACATTAAGTATTAGGAGTAACATGTTTAATGACATTTTGTAGCCAACTCCTTTATGAAAGCAAATTAATTCAATTAAATACGAAAAAAAAAATTTTGATTATATATTTTTATGTTCTAATGTTGCTGTAAAATTAATGTTTAACAGCGTTTTGCCGTCAGTTCAGTTATTAAAACAAAATAACTATATATTAAAATGTTTCGATTTTCGGAGAATGTTCTCCACATACTTCCCTTTTTTTAGAAATATTTATGAGATAAGAGATAAAGTAAAGGGAAAAACATGTTTAGTGACAAGTTAAGCTAACCCCAATGTCAAATCAAAGTATTATATTTATATATTATATAAGGAAAAATCTTTTGATCTATGCTGTAGTAAAAATGTAAAATAGCCTACCAATTTTAATAGAAACATTTCGCATTTAATTCAGTTACCAAAATTAAATATCAAATTACTTCGATTTAATTAAACATGAAGTAAAATCATAAACAAATTTAGTGTCATTTTGCAGCCGATTCAGTTATCAAAACAAAATAAAATTTTATTGATTTGTGGGGAAACATGTCTGCTTCTTTTCGCGAAGCATAATGTAAGAAGACAAACATGTTTATGGCATTTATAGTTAACTCCGTTATCAAAGCAAATTATTTAAATTAAATAGGGGAAATAATCTTTTGACACCAATTTTTTTAAGCTTAGGAGAGAAACATGTTTAGAGACATTTCGTAATAATTCAGTTATCATAGCATAATAATTTTAATTAAGTATCTTAATCTAACCACATATATGAGTTACATGATATATACAAATATCAAAGCAATATGATTACATTATATGAGGAAAAAATCTTTTGATTTTATACTTTTATGCTCAATTTTTAGTCTAAAATAGCCATTAATTTTTTTTAAAACGAGCTTAGTGGAGAAAAATGTTTAATCACATTTTACATTCCATTCAGTTATCAAAATAAAATAACTGCATGAAATTATTTCCACTTAAAGGATGAAGAGAAGCATGCTTCTCTCTTTTTTATAAAACATGGAGTCAAAGGGAAAACACGTTTAGTGACATTTCGTAGTTAACTCGGTTATCAAAGCAAATTAACTATATATATACATA